TATGTTTTGAAGAATGTTAACTGTTTTTAATATTAAAAAATTATTTAAGATTTTTTAAGGGGCTCTAAGTCGGTGAATAATAGGGGTCGTCTCTATAAAAAAAACGCAAACCACGTGGCTCCAAATTGGTATGTCATCGTTAAGAATTGCAATTAGAAATCTTTTGTTCAATGCGTCGTCACTTTGACCCAAAACAAACAAACAAAGTCACACGGCTTTTGTTTAAAATCCCAAGACGAAACACTCTATCATCATTATTATTTATGATCCAATACTTCCTCCTCTCTTCTCTTCTCTTGTTCGGATAATCGCCGATTGATTGTTGAGGAAAATGGGCGTTGATCTGGAATCTGTGTCGGAGGCCACATCCGGAGCCATAGGATCGCTTCTGAGCACCACCATTTTATACCCTCTTGATACCTGTAAATCCAAGTTCCAGGCCGAGATTCGAATTCGCGGTCAGCAGAAATACAGGTTCGAGATGATCATCTTTCCCCAATTTCGATTTTCAAAGGACGATGAAATCGGTTTTTGTATATGGGTTTTCTTTTTCAAGCTTTGCTTGGGGTTTGATCCCTTGTCGATCCTCGTCTGGATCGTAAAAAGTAGACATGGATTAGATTAAAGCCGAGAAATTTTACTTGTTTTGATCAAAGCTTTTCAATGAATTCAAGCTTTTTAGGCGTTTGATTCTCTCATGAGCATAATGATCCATCTGTGATTGTGGTTAGAGAATGAATCGTGGATATCTAAAGCTGTTTTTGTAACATTTTCAGATACCTGTCTGATGTCTTTTGGGAAGCAATTTCTACAGGAAACGTTCTCTCGCTGTATCAAGGCCTAGGGACTAAGAATTTCCAGTCCTTCATTTCGTCATTCATCTACTTCTATAGTTATAGCTATTTCAAGAGGTTACATACTGAAAGAATAGGTTCAAAGTCCATTGGAACAAAGGCAAACCTTCTCATTGCTGCTGCTGCTGGGGCTTGTACCTCTGTATTGACCCAAGTACGTTTTTATTTTTGCACTCAGCTCTGCTTTAAACTATGCTATGTTTGTCGGAACCCAGACTAGTTTCCTACTTGGTGTTCTATCTTCTCTGTTATTCATATTGAATTTAAGGTCTTATGTTTTTTGTAGCCTCTAGATACTGCTTCATCAAGGATGCAAACAAGCGAATTTGGAAAATCAAAAGGGTTATGGAAGACCTTAACCGAGGGTACATGGGGAAATGCATTTGATGGCCTTGGGATTTCTCTTTTATTGACCTCAAATCCGGCAATTCAGGTACCATTGTCATGTAACTTCATATTTACTTTCTTATTTTTGCGATGTGTTATCTGCAATGATGTGACTAGCTGAAACAACAAGCTTATCTGTGCAGTATACAGTGTTTGATCAGCTGAAACAAAATCTCCTTGAAAAAAGAATGGCAAAAGCGAAGAATGATTCTTCCCCTATAGTCCTCTCTGCATTTATGGCATTCTTGTTAGGTGCAGTCTCTAAAAGTGTTGCCACCGTTATCACATACCCAGCAATCAGGTATTAGCTATCGTTGAATTACTCAAGTCATGTAATTCTACAGCTGTGCATTGATCCAGACTCTTTCTGGGAATATTAATCCTATATACATTGATGGGTTTTGTAGGTGCAAGGTGATGATTCAAGCAGCCGATGACTCGAATGAAAATGAAGCGAAGAAACCTCGGAAAAGAATCAGGAAAACGGTTCCCGGGGTAGTCTATGCTATATGGAAAAAGGAAGGGATCTTAGGGTTCTTTAAAGGCTTGCAGGCTCAGATCTTAAAGACAGTTCTAAGCTCGGCGTTGCTGCTGATGATCAAGGAGAAAATCACTGCAACCACATGGATTCTCATTCTAGCAATAAGAAGAACCATGTTGGTGACAAAGGGTAGTTTGAAAAGTCCATAAGGATTGCCATTCCGCAAGTGTCCAAGGCTAAGCAAGAGCAAAGACTTCTTTGGTTTGGCTATCTGTATTGAAAGGTTTTCGCGCAGGCAAGTATTGTAGTCTTTTCTCATTTCAAGAACAATTGATTTTTGAGTAAAGATCTGATTGTAGGTCGCATAAAGCTTCTTGTTGTTGCCTGATTGAGTTTCTGGGCGTAGAGATTTTTTACTGGTTATTGTGTAGTTCTGTTTGTTTTCTTCAGTTGTAATAAAAGCGAGGATTTCGTGCAGGTGACTCTGGTAAAAACATGTCCTGTTAAATATTTTCTAAGCCGTTAGTACCAAGTTTTAAATGATTTTGTGGAGCCATAGTCTTTTAGCTCTTTGATCTATGAATTGCAGTTTGTTTTCACTTCCGCCTTCAAGGTCACAAAGTTTAGTTAGTGCACATGCTTAAGAGACTAATGTGTATAACTTGTCACCAGCAAATGTTTGATCGAAGTGTATGTTTGAAAACTATGTTATTGATATGGGAATAAGCAGAAATTTCAATACTAACCAAGAGTTTATAATACTATCGCACCTAGTGTGTTCACTGATAAAATGAAACCTCACATCTACTTTCATTTTCGCTCTTCTCCAAATTTCCAGGTCCTCTTCACCAGATAAATCCACACAAAGCCTCACAGAAGAAACATACATTCTTTGAGAAACCCCGCACTTGAAGGCTCGCATACTAACACGAGAATCGCATTAGCAAAGAAGCAGCCATTTTCCAGGGCCAACTGAATACCAAAAACGCACAAAGATGTAATGATCCACCAACGGTAGAAACACAATACTTTCTCTGCATCCTGGTCCTTTTTTTTTATACGCATCAAACATGGTATTCAAGAATGACGTATTTCATTCAGGCATTATATCGAACATCTTGACTGCAAACTACAATTACAATGTCGTATAGATAGACTGACTGTGACAAGCTCATGAAGATTTTCTGTAGATATACAAAGGATTTAACCAAAAACAGTAGACAAGGAAGGAAGGAAGAAAGACTATATTAACAACAATAAAAATGTCGTAACATACAGATTAAGAGATGATCCAAGGGTTTATTTTTTGCAACAACATGTAACAGAGTAAATTCTTCACTACACAAGGTTGTAATCCAAGGTTTTTTTTCAAAGGGAAATCTTCAACCTCAAGAACTTATTCAGAAATTTCTTAAACTTTGACGGAAACATCTTCAGTTTCAAGGGCTTCTCTGGAGTATCCAACCTGATCGTCTCATTCTCAACTTCAAGTTCAACAATAACGTATTTCTTCTCGTCAGCGTCGACGGAGACAGCGATGGTCTTCTCCTCTTCTCGACTCAAAAACCGATGAATCAACAACTCAGACGCGCTTCCTCTTTCTTTAGGGTTTCTTGCGAAACACGTTTCAATATGCATCGCAAGGCACACTCTCTGGAATCTCGGGAGCTTTACCATCAAAGAGAATAGGCACGAGATCATTGGCGTTAATCCCTGTCCATGGAATCTTACCAGTATACATCTCCAACACTAAGCACCCTAACGACCACAAATCTAGGGTTTTCTCGGCGACTCCGTTGTGGAAAGACTCCGGAGGCATGTAATTAGCCGTTCCAACAAACGGATAATCAATTGCCCAGTAATCAGGAATCTCTCCGACTTCTAAAGAGTTTCCGAAGTCAGAAATCTTCAACTCGTAAGCAGAATCTCCCAAGGAGAAGACAAGGAGGTTCTCTGATTTGAGATCGCAGTGAACATAATCGTGACCGTGAATAGAGACCAAACCTTGGAGAATCATACGCGTGAAGTCTCTGATAATAGATTCAGGTAATTTTCTGTCGGTGTAATTGTCCATGAAAGCCTTTAAACTACCTTCGGATGCGTGCTCGAGAAGCAATTTGAAGACTGTTTCTCCGTTAGAGTTGAGATCCTCTTCCAGATCGTTACTAAAGCATTGAACGATGTTCGGATATCCACTGAGTTCGGACAGAATCCGAAACTCTCGGTAGAGAGAGTCGTATAGATCGCCGTGGGATGTTTTGACGGCGGCGTGAAAAGAGGAGCCGTCGCTTTTGGTGAATTTGACGAGATCAACAGAACCGTGGACACCCTCTCCTAAGAACTTGACGAACTCTTCACTTGATTGCATCTTTTTGATTTGCTAGTTTTAGGGTTTCTATTTCTTACGAATTTGAACGATTTACAACCTTAGAAGATGTTTAATCACTCGATAAACTGGAAGACAAAAATAGGAAAATTGTAGCGAGAGAGAGTGGAATATGAAACTTATATAGAGGAAGCCAGACTCGGGCCTACGTTAGAGAAAGAAACTAAGGCCAACGGCCCATTTGTAATTATTTTTTTACTGAAGGAAACATTTTTTTTTTGTTTTTGCCGGCCAACTCCCTATATTAGATCGAAGAATTAATTCATCAAGGGGTACAACCATCCCACAGGAGGAACTGAAAAACCCATTAAAGGGTAGACAACTAACCTCAAACCAGAGATTATCAAATACGACCTTACTTGAAGGATGTTGGAATGTGTTGACATGAATATCAGATCATAGGACTGTTGAATTAAGCATCACGTGATGCTTAAGAAGAAGAGGCCKAACTGRCAKTTTCACAAGTGTGTGAMGACCACAAYGAGTKATTATCAGCACACAAGGAGGACCACAAAGAAAGCTGTTGGGATTTTGAATCTGTGGCCATGATCTGTTCATTTAAATGAACGGCTAGGATGTTTAGAACGTTATGCAACTTGTTGTGACTGTTAGGATGCTATTAGACTTGTATAAATAGCAGCTT